CCCCGGGCCCCCGCCGGCTCCCCGGCCCCGCGCCCAGCGGCCCCGTCCGCCTGCACGGGGACCTGCGCCGCCGCTGACCTCCATGCGTCCCGCACCGTCCTCGGCACGCGCGGCGCGGCGCGCTCGCTACGTCACTCGGAGCGCCGCCGGAAGCGGCGCGTCTCCCTCTTCCGGTCGGCTGCCATCTTGGTCGAGGGCGCGACCTACGGGGCGGGCCGCTTGGGAAACCGGAGCGGGAGGCCCGAGGCCTGTGCGCCCCCCGGCCGGCGCCGGCCCTCCCGCGGGGCGTGGGAGGCGCCCCGTCCCCCTCGGCCTCCCGGCGTCCGCGGCAGCGGGGCGTGGGCCTGCCCGGGGGTGGGCGGGGGGCCCCGCCGGGGAGGCGGCCGCTGCGGACCGCGGAGTCCGGCTCGGCCCCCGCTGGACGTCTTCGTGCGGAATGTGGCACAGGTTGCCTAGATCCGGCAATAAAAATTAAAAAAAAGGAGTCTTGGATTTTCATGTGCAATCTTTGATTTTTAAATAGACAGTTATAAAATAATGGATAAAGAGGTGTTGGAACTTGAAGCAAACAATCAGTTGGGAGGGGCTGCAGCTTGAAGGTCTCACTCTAACCTGTGGGCCCCACAGGGAGAACCTAACTAAAGCTCTGGGGCTCCAACGTCCCTTCCCCTCCTGTAACCGCTGCTCGGTCCTGGCGTGCGGGGCCGCGGATGCCTCTGGCTGTCACGTCTGCATGCACCAGGTTACAACCCTTCTTTTTCCCGAATAAATCATTTATTGTGATGAAACACATAGTTGATACTATTTTTCAGTCAATATAATTAAAGTGCGGGGTAAGCTAAGCAAAACGTACTAGAGGTTTACGCGCAATTAAGTCCGCGAACTTGCCACCGTGCGCTGACACTGGCAGCACTGTACACACAGCTCAGTGAGGTTTCATAACCTTGGTGTATCAGTGTCTCACAGCTGATCTTGTGGACGTGTGGCCGTGTCTTGCTGAGTGGTGTTCATTATTGTTGTTGCGAGTTTTTGTGTGCCATCGCAAGAATCTGAGCTTGAATTAGAGCAACGAACAAACATTAAACTTCTTGTTAAACTTGGCAAGAGTGGAAGTGACTTCAGGGACATGTTAGTCCAAGTATATGGGGATAATGCCATGAAGAAAACAGCAGTGTACAAATGGATTAAAGGTTTTTCTGAGAGGAGAGAACTCGTCACTGATGAAGAGAGGTCAGGGCAGCCAGTGATGGGCAGAACTGACGAAAACATGCAAAAATTCGTCAAGTTGTACATGAAAGTTATTAGCTGCCTGTGAGAAGCATAGCAGACCAAGTAAACATCAATAGAGAAACAGGAAACTCTTAACTAAAAATCTTGGCATAAAAAAGGTGTGTGCAGAAATCATCCCGAAGTAGCTCACCGATGAACAAAAGCAAAGGAGAGTGGAAGTTTGCCAAGACCTTTTGGAGAGTCAAGGTGATATTTTGGGCCGTGTTATCACTGGTATGAAACATGGGTATAGTAATGCAACTCTGAAACATAGCGTCAAAGTGCATAATGGACGTCAGTCAATTCTCCACGACCAAAAAAGTTCCGACAGTCCAAATCAAGAGTCAAAACGATGTTGCTAACCTTTTTTGATATCAGAGGGGTTATTCATTATGAATTTGTACCAACTGGACAAACAGTGAACCAAGTTTACTATTTGGAAGTGGTGAAAATGCTGTGTGAAAAAGACGACCTGAACTGTTCGCCAACAATTCATGGCTCTTGCATCACGACAATCCACCAGCCCACACGGCACTGTCTGTGAGGGAATTTTTAGCCAGTAAACAAATAACTGTATTGGAACACCCTCCCTACTCACCTGACCTGGCCCCCAATGACTTCTCTCTTTACCCAAAGATAAAGGAAATATTGAAAGGAAGACATTTTGATGAGATTTAGGACATCAAGTGCAGTACAACTACAGTTCTGATGGCCATTCCAGAAAAAGAGTTCCAAAGTTGCTCTGAAGGGTGGACTAGGTGCTGGGCATTGGTGCATAGCTTCCCAAGGGGAGTACTTGGAAGGTGACCATAGTGATATTCTGCAATGAGGCATGTAGCACTTTTTCTAGGATGAGTTCGTGAGCTTAATTGCCAAAGTCACTGAGTGTATGGTAGTTTTGTTATAGAATCCCGAACAGACTAAGATGCCATACAATCCAGCAACCATGCTCCTCAGTATCTACCCAAAGGAGCTGAAAACTTACGTCTACTCAAAAACCTGCTCATGGATGTTTATGGCAGCTTTATTCATCTTTGCCCAAACTTGGAGCAACCAAGATGCTCTTCAGTAGGTGGATGGGTAAATAAAATTGCTCAAGCCCCTGGGGGTGACCATCTCCCTGGATGCGCTGCTGGCTGGCACAGAGCAGCTGAGCCTGTCTGCGGCTAGGTCCCACAGACTGCTGGAGCCGGCACAGCCTCACCCAGCACCAAACCCCCGACCTGTGGAGCCTTCCATGGAAGAGATGGAATCTACGCTGTTCCTGACTTTCTCCTGTCCTTGGGATCTCCTAGGGCTCGAGGAGGTGACGCCTGACACCCAGGTGACACTGCTGTTGGGTGAGGCTACGCGGCTGCCCTTCTACAAGCTGCTCTGGGTGTGGGTATTTAAAGCCCCCCAGGTGACTTTCGTGTAGACGAGCCTCTGAAAACCAGGAAAACCAGGCCACACACTGTGGTGCCATAAAGAACACTATCTGGTCTTTGTCCCTTGTTCCTGACACAGAGCTTCAAAAATCGGCAACTTCCTAAGTGATGGAACTGTCTTTTGTTATTTGTAAGGAACCTCTCACACCTGAGTTTATGTCGGTAAGGTGACTCTTGGGTGGACCATGGAGGACCCTGTGGCTGGTGGCCAGAGGAACGCACATTAATGAGAGGGCTGGGGACCGGCTTCATCACCAGGGGACAGCCGTTCCATCGCATGCCTGTTAATGAAGCCTCGAGAAAACGTCTGGACACCGAAGCTCAGGTGACACTTGATGTGCCGGGAGGGTGGGACACCCAACCCCATGGGACAGAGGCTCCTGTGTCCCCCTCTCCGCCTTGGGTGTGTCCCTCTGTGTTGGCTGTTCCTGCTCCATATCCTTAAAAACAACTATAATCCTAAGTGTGGTGCTTTCAGAATTCTGTGGGCTGTTCTAGCAAATTATTGAATCTGCGGGAATCCCAAATTCATGGCCAAGTGAGTCACAAGTGCAGGCAGCCCCTGGGCCTTGAGGCTGCTTCTGCAGTGGGGGTCCTATGCGACTGAGACCTTGGCCGTGGGCCTGACTGGAACTGAGCTGAGTTGTAGGCCACCGTAGGTGACTGGTGGGCAGGCACATGTGACTGGAGGTCCCCAACAAGCTACTGGGAGTGGTGTGCTTGCCGAAATGCCCGGTAACTGCCTTCGCCCCCTGCATGCCCCCAAAGTGGCTGAGGCTGATGAGGCGTGGACGGGCTGCAGCCACTTTGAGCCCCAGCCCCCCGCAGGCTCCACTCTGCTCCTGTCCCCCACCCCGGCCCAGCAACTCCCTGAAAGGGATCAGACCCTGAGGGCCAGCGACTGAGAGACTGTGGACAAGCCTCCCTGGCCCAGCTGGGCCCCAGCTCTGAGGGCCTGGTGCTGCCTCTCCACCTGTTTCCCAGGGCCCCAGAGGTGGGGCCTGCATGTTTGTCCCTCCCATCAGGGGCCTAGGACCGACGGACAGAGACGTGAAGTGAGTGGGTTTTTATTAGCAGCAAGTAGCAAGCATTGTCTGGATCCCAGAGAAGAGGCTGAGTAGCCCTGGCGGTTATTCCTGGCAGCAAGGGTCCCGGGTCAGCCCCTCACTGAAGGTGGTCCTCTGCAAGGAACACGGAGGTCTCAGAGGTGGCACTGCCACGGTCCATCGGGGCAGGGGCCCTGGGAGTAGGTGCCCCCCCCCGTCCCCCGCCCCCGCCAGCCCTCCATCCCCACCCCTCCCGGCCCTCACCATGGTCCAGGGGCAGGCAGGTGGCAGGATGTTAGCTGGGAACCGCATCTCCAGGCTCCTGACCCAGAGTTTCTCCCACAGTTGGGAGCTCCGCTGCTCCCCAGGGTTCAAGGTTAAAGGCTCAGGCCTTGCAGGTGGCCAGGTGAGGCCGAATCTCACCTGGCAAGTCTCGGCTTCTCTGAGCCCTCTTTGCTAGCCCCACACCCGCTCTGTACCCCAGAGGCCACAGCAAGTGCCTGCAGAGGCCTGCAGGGGGTACAGCCCCCATCACGCCGTCTGCCCCGGCGGGGTGGCCTGAGAGGGAGAAGCTGTGTCCCCATCCCTAAGGTGTGTCCTGGGGGGGGCCTCTGGCGTGCTTACCTGCTGTGGGCTCCAGACACCTCATGGCACACAGGCTGAAGCAGCACTTCTTGTTGCTGTCACACTGGTCGTCCCCAGAACACTCGCTGATCTCCGTGCAGGGCCCGGGGTTCGGCAGGGCCTGCACCTGGGGGCAGTGGCCAGCCTTCGGGACACGGACTAGGGAGAGACAGGCCAGCCCTTCATGGTCCTCCGGCCTTGCTGAGGCCTGAAGCCCTCGGGCGGGGTTGGGAGGGAGGCTGCAGTGTCTCCTTCACTGAGCCGGGGAAGAGGGGGGACCCAGGCCGGGCTGCTGGGGGTCAGTAAGAGAGGGGTGTGGAGTGCCGACTCAGGGGACCCTTGACAAACTGGCTCTCCTCCCCTCAGGGCTGGGGCGTTACCGATGAGGGGGACCATGCAGGACCGGCCACAGGGGCTCTGAGTGCAGCACTTGGTGCCTTGGGGACAGTTCTGGTCGGTGACACAGGCATTTACGCAGGACTCCTCGGAGGAGGAAGAGGAGAAGCTGAGGTCGGGGCACACGGCGGCTTGCCCTGCACACAGGACAGGCAGGTGGTCAGGGGTCCGGCCAGCGCCAACCTCCCCGGGGCGCCTCAGGGACAATCAAGGTGGGGCGAGGCCAGGAGCCACGGGAGTCTGGTCCCCAGCAGCCCAACACTCCATTTCTGGGAAGGAGAAAGCGTCTGCCAGCAAGGTGACAGGGCTGACTGCTGGGGGGACAGTTAAGCCCTTGCTCTGAGGACAGGTTGCAACACCCAGTTAGCTGCCTGGTCACTTCTCAACCCGGGACAGTGGCCTCGGCCCTGCACGCTCGGCTCCCACTTCATGGGTGTCTCTGGGCAGCGTCCTGATCCTCTGCCATCGCTGTGCCCCCAGGGGTGCACCTCCCCTATCTTCTCCTGTCCCTGTCACCAAACCTGCAGGCCGGCTGCGGTTCAGGGCTGCACCCTGAGCAGAGGGACATGGGGGCGGGGGGCTCTCCTGGCATGTCTGGGGAGGAGGGGCCCGGCCTACCTGGCAAGGTGGCGGCTGGGACCAGTGTGAGGGTGGCCTCCAGGGCCAGCAGGGCCAGGACCAGGCTGGCAAGGCAGTGCATGGTGGCAGGCAGGTGGCAGATGGTGGCCTGCTGCCCCAGGGTGCCTTTAAAGGAGGTGGCAGGCAGGGGAAGAGGGTGGGGGCTGGCGCTGCCCCAGCAGGGCCCAGGGGCTTCCGCCTTGAACAGGCCCCAGGCTGGAGGCCACTGCCTAGGATCATGTTTTTAAATTTTAAAAAGTTCCTATGGCCGGCCGAGTGGCTCAGTTGGTTAAGAGCACGAGCTCTGAGCAACAGGGCTGCCAGTTTGATTCCCACATGGGCCAGTGAGCTGAGCCTGAGCTGAACTGCCAACAGATGGCAGGATGGCTCAGCTGGCGAGAGCATGGGCTCCTAACAACAAGGTTTCCAGTTGACTCCTGCACGGGATGGTGGGCTACACCCACCCACAACTAAGATTGAACACGGCACCTTGAGCTAAGTGGCTGCGAGCTGCCGATGGGCGGCCGGATGGCGACTGGACTTGGAGCTGAGCTAGCCATACCTTCCACAACTAAGAATGAAGGACAACAACTTGGGCGTTCCCCTCCCCCAATTCCCCAACACTGTTTCCCAATTCCCCAATAAAACCTTAAAAAAAAAAAAAAGACTATTAAAAAAAAAGTTCCTAATAAGACGGACTTGGGGCACATTTATCCTGAGAGTTCCATGAAGTGTGGGAGTGGGGAGAAATAGGCTCCCTATTGGCACAGCCGCGTGTTCTCCACAGTCATGGAGTGGGGGCCGGGGAGATGGTGACGTCTCCCTCTGCGTGCAGTCCACAGAGGCGCTGCGGGAGGGTCAGGTGCTGAGGGTTCTGGGGGCACTCATTTCTCTTGTGGTGCCTTTTCTTTTCCAGAACCTTCTACAGCCACTGCGGTCTTGTTTCTGAGCTGTATGCTCCCAGCCGAGTCTTGGGGAAGGGAGGGGCAGGCCCAGAGTTGGAGGTTCTGCAGAGGGCGGGTACCCTGAAAGTTGCCTTCCCAGAAGGGCCTGTGGCCAGTGAGTGAGCCAGGGACACGGCCCCTTCTCCGGGAATTTCCTTGATCCTCCTCCCCTGAGGGCCTGGACAGGGAAGGTGGCCTTGGGACGCCCCGTGTGCTGATGGCCGGTGCCCTCCTCTGCCTGGCCTGTTGCCTCCTGGCCTTGGACACAGAGCCCCTCGGTGCTGCCTGGACTCCCAGGCTGTGCCACGCACATTCTGGCAAGTTCCATCCCTGAGCACGCTTCCACTCTGATGGGTGGTCACGTGCCCCTGCTGCCCCTACAACGGCTCAGCAGATCTCTGGGGCTTCAACCTAGGCCCCTGCCAGAGAGGCAGTGCCAGCCCACGGGGAGTGGGGTCTGCATTCCCTGGCTAAATGAGTCCCCTCCCCCAGCCTGGGAAGGAGGCAGCACACACGGGCACACGGGCTCTGAGAAGCCAGGAGTGGCAAGGCTATCGCCACCCACTGGCAGGCCCTGTGGCCTTCTCTCCCTGCTCTCCTACCCTCCCTCACACCACAGCCAGAAGGACTCAGGGTCCTCCCTGCTCAGATGCTGTGCCCAAGGCCAGGCCACTGGCCAGGGCCTCACATCAAGTCACCAGCCTGGTTCTGGGGCACAGCCCTCAGCCTATGGGGCTGGAGGTCACAGGGCCATGGGTCACAGGGCCACAGGGTCACAGGGCCACAGGGTCACAGGGTCACAGGGCCACAGGGTCACAGGGCCACAGGGTCACAGGGTCACAGGGCCACAGGGTCACAGGGCCACAGGGCCACAGGGTCACAGGGCCACAGGG